CCCCAAAACCCCAAAACCCCAAAACCCCTCAATGGCAGTTTTTATCTACTCATGTAAATAATTTTAATCAATATTTCATATACTAAAATTGTGAGAATGTCCAGTATAATTAATTCACATTTAATCAATAAGGGATTTAGATGTTGTTTTTTATCTGAATGTTGCATTCTTATGAGCAGAAACGGTCTTTTTACTAGCTTAAAAGAGACATTAGGTCAAAGGTTCTCCTCTTTTGCTTAGAATTATTTGTAGCTATTCCAAAAATTCATTGAAATCTAGCTTTTTGCATTGCTTGATTAATGGTCTAAGTACTGCCTACAATTGAGGAGAAAGCTAAGCTTGCACAAAACTGTTTTCACTAATTTCACCATCTTGATCGTTATCAATCATATCGAAAAGTTCTCTTAACTTCCTGAGTTGAAGTCTTTAAAATAATTTTTTAGACTCATCGTTTATCCACTTTTGATTTGCCTAATCTCTTAGCTTCTATAATTCCTTTTCTTATACTTCTTTTTACTTTTCTAATTACGCATACATATAGTAATACATTCTTGTACAGATGTCTAATTTCTCTCTGAATTCTGTATCTTTATTACTTTTTGGGCCTCTAGTTATTCTAGGCTTAAATAGTTGCTGTCCGTTTTCATCGAAATTCTCAGAAATGTACTTCTGGTGTATTCTCTTCAGATGATTTTAATGTTCTAATTGCTCCTTGTATTAAATTAACTTGGAAGCATGATCGATCTATCTTTAATTGTTTGATTTTTATCTTTAATCTTGATATGTATTCATAATTGTGTTTGATTACTCAGTTAAGCAATCATTGTTTGGTGAAGAAACTGTTTGATTTCTACTGTCTTTCTGAGAAGTGAACTTTGATTAATTAAAAGGGGACCTGTTGATTCTTTCTTATTTTTATAATTAACGTTCCTTGAGTTTTTACTCCTTTTGGAATGCATCTTGGTAAAGATGAAGAAATACAGGGGATCTATCAGAACTTTGCTTGCGCTTCTCCTCAACTAGTTTAGTGCTACGTTTAGTAATAATAGGTCTAAATGTTTCCTATTTATGAACTTATTGTCTCTCCTAAGATCTATAATCAGGAGATCTACTTGTAAGATCTTATTAAGTATTCAGTTGATCTCCTCTATCTGGGGAATTATAAAACTGTATAGTTTAATTTGTGATATTGCTAGGATCAAATTTAACTCTTTAAGTTGCTAATTCCTAAGATTTCTTGTTAATTCTGGGTTTGAAAGTAAGATTCTAGTTTTCTTTCATTCTTTGCTCAAATTATAGCATATCTCTTTTGTTCTTAATCTTTTACTCTATTTATCTGCTGTGATTGAATAATCTATTGCTGGACTCTTCTAAATTCACTTTAGATCTCTCTTATGACTTAGAATTATCTCGCTTGATAAAACAAGAATTTGATTACATCTTCATACTCTTGTTTTTATTTTTTTACCTTATCTTTTTGTTGAAGTTCAAATAAGAGTAAGAATTGAAAGACTTTCTTTAGTACTCAGAAGGTGAGTTCTTGTGAGAAGCTGTTTATTGACTAGTTACTCCAGAGTAACTTTTGGAGTCTAAGATATTCATTGTATTCATTTTTAGATCAACTTAGTGACCTGTATCATTTGATAAAGTTTAATAGGAGATTGGAGATTAAAGCTAAGTCTCTATTTTACTTTCCAGATAACTGTTTGGAATCCCCATTGATTTACCGCTATATAAGATTCCATTTTAATTTTACTCAGATCTAATTTCCATTGAATTGTAATCACTGCTAAGAAATTAGCCTTAGAACTGGTTTCTTTGGCAACCTACACTTATGAAATCAGCATCTGAATCCTCCTCTGTATCAGATTCGTAGAATTGTTTATTATTCAATTTAAATGGATTAAAGTTTTGATTATCGCCTCTCTCAGCTTTTTATACATTTAGTTAGTTCGTTGTAGAATATGAACTAGAGTATTTATGTCTTGTTTGATGACTATAAGGATTAGAGTTAGAGTTGGAATCTAAATTTTTAATATAAGGATAACAGGTAGGCTTAAAAGTGCCATGATTCTGAAGTAAATCGATATTTATGCAGTCTTGTTCGTAATTACTTCTAACTGGAGAAAACTGAGCATTTTTGGCTGTTATACTATAAGTTTTATGATGGAAGCCAGATTGGTGATCAAACGATGATCGACTATTATTCATAATGTCATTTGCTTTCTCTTGTTGAAATGTTGACGGGTAATGAGGTTATTTATTGAAGGTATTATAAGCCAGTTTATCCTCTTCGTTCTTCATTATAGAGTCAAATGTCTTTTGCTCCATTGCCATTAGCTTTTCTTGCTCTCTCTGTATTTTTCTTTGTTGTTTTCTCAAAATTGCCTCCTGAACACCTTACTTTATCTGATCAAAGAGGACCTATTTTATTTGAGGATTTTTACTCGTGGAGGGAAACAGTTCAATGAAAGAATTTATGATTCGTTAGAAATAATTCTCATCGTTCTAAAAAATCTTAAGGGGTATTACACCACCATTTTCAACTCCTAGGTCCACCTTCAAGATCAATAATGGTTTCATTGAATAATATTTTGCTTGTTTAATTATTGATTTTGATAGATGATTTATTCTTGTACAATGTATTAAATTTTATTTGTTCATCTATTCATTTTAAGAATAAAATTGATTGCGGGGTTTTGGGGTTTTGGGGTTTTGGGG